AAAACTTTAGCCTCTGGTTAGTCTAGTTTTCTAGAGAGGCATTTATCTTTGTGATAAACCTAACAGAATAGTACACATTTCACACATGTATTTATCTGCATGTTTGGTAACTTTCTACTAATTAGTACCTGTTGTGCTATCATCACTGGGTTTATATTTCAAGCTATCTTTTTAAATACTATCATAATCCAATCTGTATCTCAAGCTACAATCTTCTTAATTAGTTTCTTATTATATACTTCCTGCTTTTGCAAGATTTATACCAATTCTGATATCTATATTTTAACTTTTTTCTTTTTCAGATTCCTTATTAGTCCCTCTCCTGCTTCTAGCCAACAACTTGGAAGAGTTAGTCTGCCTAGGTATTAGATGTCTTATAGTCTTTCACCCCTTAGTATATACTTTTGAAGTATAGATTCTTTTTTTCCAGTGGCAAGCTAGTGGTTTGGCTGGTATATCTTCTTACTTAAGAATCTGGTTACTTAGTTCTTTAATCTCAGTCTCTAGTTTTAAATTCAGTCTTTCTGTAGCACTATCAAGGGTTACTACTACTTCTTAACTTGGAACTTTCTAAATAGGTTTCGATCATTGCAGTTTCTTGGCCTTTTAAGCACTAAAGCTTCTATATAAACATAGTATTACCAAGATTATAAATTCTAGGACCCAACTGATTAACAAATAATCATTACTCTATCACAAGCTTATTTTTTGAAAATATTGTCTATAAAATTCAAACTTTGGGCCTGCTACTTAGTAAAATAATAACTAAACCACTTTACTAAGCTACTATATTTTAATAAAATAATTATATAGTAACTTTAAAACTAAAAAAATTAATAGAATTTAGGCTCTATAGCTTAATTGTTAAGTTGCCAAATCTCTATAGAAATTAAGTTAAAGTTCATAGTTCGAGTCAGGCTGAAGGTGAAAAAAACTCTATAACCTACAGATAAGAAGCCAAAATTGAATACAAAGCCCTGTAGAAGTTCAAGTATAATACAGATTTAATAAAAAATTTCTGAAAGATATATTAAAAGGAACATGGTACAAGAGTTAAAGCTAGAGAGTTTAAATAAATAGCTTTCTAGTTAGGCTATAGGTATGATAGCTAGTGTAAAACCTTCAGGCAGACTACTTAAATTAGACAACCAAAAGTTGTACATGTGGCTAGTTGTACTCTTGTAATACTATTGTAACATGTCATTGATCTACCTAACTGATAAACCTATTTGAACTAATAAAGTGCCAAGAGTCTAAGTAGTCACCTTAATATTAAAAAAAAAAAATAATAATAATTATTTTATTATTACTATATTTTTACTATATATTAGCAATACTGTATGCTTATTATTTAATTTTGCAAATTTTACAGTAGAAAGTAATTTAAAAATTTTAAAACTATAGCTTTTAAATTTAAAAAATTAGAGAAGATAACTTTTTTGACTGGCACTATATATTGTATAAAAATTAAGAAAACTAATAATTATATTTTATTGGCAAATTATTAAGTTTTTTTATTCACATTATAAATATTATTGTAACTTTCAAATTTTTTCAACTTTTTACAATTTACTGACTAGTCACGAAATCAAACAATAAAGTAACTAAAAAGGTTACCGCTTACAGTACTTAATAATAATAACCGAATAAGCAAAAATTTTTCTTGAATACTTTACTGAAACTTGCAAAATAGCAATTTGCAATTAACTATAAAGTAACTATACAGTTGCAATTTTTTTTTATATTAACTATATATTAGCAATACGCCTACTACTATTAATTTTTTTAGTTTTAAAGTATCTATATAATTATTTTATTATTTCTATATATTTATTATATATTAGCAATACGTCTACTACTTAATTTTGCAAATTCAATAAAGTACTTGTTACTATGATGGATATAACTATTTTGATTAATGTGATGGATTTCTTATTAAAGTGATGAAATGATAATATTGCATATTCATTATATGTATAATCAAGCAAGAATATAATAAAATTAACTAGATTTGTAATAATAAGAAAGACTAATTAGGGATTTTAGTATTAGCCTGAATTAATAACTAAGTGAGGTATTAGAACATTTTAAGAATATTTTCTCTTTGACAATAACGATTGTATGATTTCTTTTTATGATAAGATTATGCATAAAAAGCAAGGGTTTAGGGGATGTGAAAAACAAACAAAAAACGGACCATTAATGTAAAATAAAAATATATTAGAGAAAAGATCATGAATATGATGTAATATTTGCATAATAATAATGGTTTACATGTATGAGCTAATAAACGAAAATCTTTGATTTCGATAATTTCGTAATTGACTTTTTTTTTTTTTTTTTTTTTAGGAATGTTTTAGGAATGGTTAGACAAAAGAATTTTGCAAGATTAATAAGAAAAAAAAAAGGTTATCAGAAAATGAAGTTTATAGAAAGCAAAATTTTTTTATACCTTCTATCTCTTCAAAAAAAAATCGCGGTCAATGCAAACAAAATCCTTTATAATAACATTTGAAATATTCTAATTCATATTCTAATTCATCACCTAGAAAAGCTCTCACGATTTATTTCAACGCAACAATTCTTAGTAATGACATTAAGACATGTCTCTCGACGAAACACGGTCTCTTCCCATTACGCAATCAATACAGCGTGATATATAGACGTTGATTCAAGATGACTTTTAATAGAACGACGATTAGAAGTTTACAGAAAAGTCATTCAAAATAATCATCTATATCGATGCCCTTGGTCTCAAACAATACTCAACCAAATGCAATTCATTCCATAAATATCCCATAACACATTGACAACTGTATCATTCAGTCAAAATAAAGTTATGAGATCCGATGATGATGAAAATCAAAGTCATGGCAATTTACAGAGAGCTAATAATTCACCCATTACTTGAAGTAATAAAAAGATAAGGATCAATTGTATGAGGATAACAAAGATAACGAAATGATTATGATGATAATGAAGATTATTTTAATATCGAAACGAAATCTTTACTTTATAATAACACCTTAATTACTTTACATAAATAATCGGAGTAATCGGAATAACCAAAATAATCAGACACAAAAAAACAAAATGAAGAATCGAATATTCAACGGTCAAGTACAGGTCATATGCCTAAGTATATAATAGCAGAACAATGGGAATATAGATATGCAAACTACAATTTGTTAATCTTGAACGTTCTGAATATTATCATCATAACCGATCCTTACCTTTATTATGCAAGAATCGAATGTCTCAAGCTTTGTGCCCATCATTTCATGTCAATCGATTAACTATTTCTTCATCTGGACAAACATTTTCAAAATTAAAGACCAACAATAAGAATGATGAGCAAGAAGAATGTTTGTTATGTCTAGAATTATAAGAATTACGTAGTTGATAGGATGATTATTAATCCGTGATGTAGACATTTGTTACGATATGAAGCGTTATTTAGATTAATTAGAATAATTAGAATAATTAGAATAATTAGAATAATTAGAATACATTAAACGATTTAAGGATATTTATGCCGTTCGGAGGAAATCTATTTCCGGTTGGAAAATAGTTCAATCATTGTAATTCATTTAATGATCGATTAATAATTTTAGATATTTGAGATAGTTCATATACACGCGTACTATTACGTACTGTATGTACGTACGTACAGTACGCATGAACTTTCAGGGAAATTGCAAGTCTTAATAGTAGTTTAACATAAAAATCTTATGATCAAGTAGCATGTATTACTTTGAATAAAGTAGTCTTAATCCCACAAACACCGAACATCAAACATCATTTTCAAGTGATAATCATTATTTTGTTTCATGCACGTACGATAATGCATTCGTACTGTACATACATGTAGCCAAATTATGAATTTAAAATGTGGACAAGGTAATGCAAGAAGGAATCTAAGAGAAATGGAATCTAATTATCTTGTAGTAATATTTGGATGTTTCACTAATACAGTAATAGTAATGGATAACTATCCAAACCATCATTCGTTATCGATTATCAGAACGAATCATGTACGTATATATGTACATGATTTTATTTTATTTTAGTTTTGAATTTTTACTAATAAAGACAAGAATGCTTTACTAATTTTAATTATCGACACGTGAAATAACTAAAGTTTTTATCAGGAAGAACAAATCCGGAAAAGCAATCGACAATATAAGCCAAATTAAGAAAAATTTATATCATTAAAGAAAAGATCTACTCGCATTTTTTTTCAACATCATCTCGGGTTTTCGGTATTTCACAGAAAGATACATGTTACACGGATCTTTTGGGGTTTTAATATATCGCGTGTACCTATGTATCTCGATTTATGGTTATACGCAAGATAAAGCTTTGCAAATTTATGTCACGTACGTACGGAGTAAATCGGATCATCATACATCTCGCGTTACCTAATTTATCGCAATGAATTAAACTTTAGCCATACAGTAGTAGTTAGTAGTTTTAAAAATTTTTAGGTAGATATTGCTGTATTGTACTAGTGTTAGTTGAAACATTTTAATATATTTTATATGGTTTAGATAATTTTAAGATTTTTTTTTTTTATTTTTATTTTTTTATTATTTTATTATTTTCAAATTACAAAGGTTTTATTACTGAATCCCTTCACCAAAACCAAAAATTTTTATTTAGGATGCAGTTGATAAAAGAATTTTTTTTTTAAAAGAATTTTTAAAAATTTTTTTTTTTACGCAGCCTATATATATATAATAGATATCGCTAATACCGAAGCAAGTAAACGGAAATAATAAACGAAAAAAATTATTCTGCATATGTAAAAAAGTAGTGTGTTTCTAATGATAGTGATTATATATATCATTTTTTTTTCACACCATTAGTAGTTGAAATTCACGATTGCATGCTATGAATTGTAAATGAAAAAAAAAAGAGAAAAAAAAACTACATATATATATATATATAATAAACTCGAATTCGATCGACCCTTATTACCAATAGCTAATGAATTGTATTTACAAAGTGGTTAACCCATTAACTAAACTCCATACATTCTTATCATAACCAGTGAAATTTGAAGAAATAGGAATATCAAGAGGAGGAGGAGGAAGAAGTGAAGTAGCAGTAGATTGTGGAGGTGGATGAGTAGTGATTAATGGAATTTTTTCGACACCTTGCATTGGTTTAGGAGATTGAGGAGGTGGTATCTTGTATTGATCATTATGAACAGAACGTGTATCGGTTTGACCGTAATGAGCCCAACGCCATTCTTTAATTAAATGTTGTTGAGGATAATCTTTTATTGATGTCTCTCGTTCAGATTGAGATAATGATTTAAAAGATGATGATGTAATAGATGAATCAGATTTTGAAGTTGAAGATGAATCCAAAGATAAAGTAGTCATAGTTGAAATCATAGAAGCTGCAGCAGATTTTGATGAAGATTTAGCAGGTTTTGTAGGTTGAGATTTTTCAGCTTTTGAATTACGATCAGATTTAGATTTTTCTGATCGTTGCTTACAAGTGTCCATAGTAACTTCTCTAAATATAGTATTATTTCCTTTCTTTGAAGATTTATGTTTTGGTTGATAAACGTATTGAGGATAGGTACAATCATGAACTTTTTTAGCACAATCAGCTATTAATTCATAAAGTTGTTTAACTTCATTACTTTCTTCAGACCAATTTTTAGCAGCTTCATTTGAAATAAGTTTAAAATTTTTAGCCACAGCGTGACCTCTTTCTTTAGTAATAACGGCATGAAAATTTCTTCTGTATAATACAAAATTATTTTGAGGCCTTGGAATACATCTTCTACGTCGATTTTCTCTTGGTGAAATAAGTTGACGAAGCGGTACAGCGATTTGTTTTTCAATTTTTACAAGAGTTGATGGGTCAATATTCGTTGCGATTATATGGTCTACAATTTCTGACGGAGACATCCGGTCAAGCTGTTGACTACACTCTGGGGGTGGATATGGAGCAAGAGTTCTGTCCTGCCTCGTTTCAAAACAATAAAATGACATTTCTTTACGTAAAAAAAAAAAACTTATTTTTAAGAAGAGTGAAGAATGTTTAAATAATAATAGTCGTCAATATAATCGTTTAAAAGGTATTAATATATTTTTTTTTTTTATAATTTTTTATATATATATTTTTTTTAAAAAATTTTTTTTAAAGAGATTTGGGGAGCTGCACAACACGGAGAGTGATCTGTGACAGTCTTTATATGTCGGAGCAATGCATTCTTTGCTGAAAGTGGAAATGATGGTGATTGACGATCTTTTAGAAAAAAAAGCTCTTTGTTAAAAATATATGTAGAGATGAAAATCTGGCTTATCTGCAATATCTTTTGACCCAATTCAAAAGCAGGCGGCAGTTGCCTATATTAGATATTGTTGCACATAATAGGTATTTATAACAAAATAGTTTATATGAAAAGAAAGGGAAACAATGGATAGCTATCTTGGCATAATAGCATGAAATTACATTAAACCAAAACCTTAAAAAGGGGAATAATCAGCAAAAAAAGAAAAAATCATGTCACAGCATAAATGGCAATTTTACAATAAGGCACCATTCATTCACCAAATAGGCAACTCTAAGAAATAGAAGAATACTTATTTTTATTGTAGTATACAGGAACACTCGGATTTCGGCTCGCACCATGGTCTTTCATCGAAGTTTCCGTTAATTTAAATCAATTACCAGATTTTTTTTTTTTATATATATATATTTTTTTTTTTATTTTTTATTAATTTTATTTATTTATTTTTTTTTTTTTTACTTTATTTTAATTTTACAAATTTGTTAGATCGTACAAGTCCAAATTCATCAACAATTGTGGATTTCAAAAACCATAGTACAATGACAAAATTTACAAATAAATTTTAATCATATTACAGTTAGCGGTAAAACGTCTCGGATGTGATAAGCTTTGTGATATCATGTGCATATTGTATAGACTATGGCGGGATGATCAATTACCGAATTTCTTGCAGATGCATACGTAACATAACTTATATATTTACGTAAAGTTTTTTTTTGGAGTGATATAATATTACTATTATTATGCGTTATTGCTCGCATGGATGGTTCAATGAAAAAAGTATGTAAAAAAAAAAAATTGTAAATAAAATGCGAAACAAAAAATAAAATTTTTTTATAATTTTAATTTGGTAAAGAAAAAAAAAATAGATATGCTTGTGTACCAACTTTAGAAATTTATCAACTGTATTCTTTAATTGGAATTAATAGTCAACAAATACAATTAAAGGATTGGATCAAAAGAATAGATCGGATTCAAAAAGAAAAATTACAATTCTAAATTTAGTTTAGAAAGATTAACCTGTCTATAAATTTTCTATATCAAAAATCTTGCACTGAGACAAGAACTTCGTGCGAAATGCTCTCCTTTATGTCGTGTAATCTTTTATGGGTCGGAAGTTCCTTTCTTGTCTACAATGAGTGACGCGGCGGTGACGGCGTGGAACATGTCGTTTCTTTAGGAAATAAAGTAAAGGGTGCAATGTTAATTTGGAAATTACCCGTTTTAATTCTTGTTTGTTTGTTTGTTGTTGGGTTTCATGAAAAATTTTTATTCGTCGATGATTGGTACTTTTTTATTCTCCTTTTTCTGCAATCTCTTACATCTCAAAACAGTAAATTTTTTTCCCGTAATAAAATCTTACCTCAAAAAAGTAAATTTTTCTATTGTTCAATGATTTGTTGCGTTTCGGTTCTTTTTAGTTTCGCGGGAAAAAAAAAAATATCGTTCTGCGTGGATTTTTTGAATTTTTGAAACAATAAAACAAACTTTATGCCATAAAAAATTCTCAAACAAACAACTGATTTTAATTGATAATGTGCGTCAAAAATACATTGGTTCTGGTTAATAAAATAAAATGTTTTGTTTCCCGTCAAAGTATATAATAATGTTGAATGAAATCCCGCGAAAATAACGGTGCTCAGGGGGTTGATTTTCTTAAAAGGGGTGAGTGAAGAATCTGAAATACATAAATAATTTAAATAATTTAAATAATTTAAATATATTAATTTACTATTTTATCATTGCAATTTTTGTGAATGTTGTGAATTTTATGGAATGTTGTGAATAACTGTGAATGTTGTGCAATATATTTGTAAAAAATAAAATAAAAATTAAAAAACTTTTTTCGTGTTCTTCATTTTCTTTCTAAATGACTCTATTTTGATGATCACGGACTCCGCTGCATATTTAATGTGAACTTTCCGTACAAAATTGTCAATTATAGTCATATCTCCCTTATCATGGATTTCTGATATTACCAACCAATAAACTTATACCTAAAAAAAATTAATTATTATTCGTTTGTGTTTCTAGCGTTAATATTTTGAAATTTTGCGTGACGTAAATATTTTGACATTATATTCGTCTTGGAAATATGTTTTCGAAATAGAATATGTTTATCTTTCCCTTTTTTTCTTCTTTTCAAATTTATTATCACGTGGTTAATTTGGCGTTCGCAGAAAAGAATCTTAGAATCTTCTTTTTCCATTTTTTTCTGCGCCATTTGCTTTGTAGAACCAAAAAAATCTGACAATTGTTTTGCCTATTTTGGATCTGTTTTTTCTTTTATTTCGATTAAAATGTTCAACATTGTCAATAAAAGGCAGATTTAAATACACAAACAATGTGTTGTACAAACACAATCGCTATTAATATTAAATGGCGTAATTGATCTAACTATATTTGTTCTCTGACATCATATGCTAGCGTTGGTGGCTGAATATCTGCATAAATCCTATATTGGATCTCTCTTGTCATTGCTCTTTTTTTATATGTCGATGACGTCATTATGTAATATAATTTTTATATACCGATATACTTATTTTGCAACTCTCGATATAGTCAATGATCTTATTGATTTCTCTATATCAAGAATTTAAAGAAATTTATCCACTCTTTACTATATCTGGTGCTTACAATAACGAGATTAATTCCTGAATTATTGTTCAATGACGTTATGAGTTATCCAAGTTTATTAAAATAGTATAATTTTATTGGAACGAATCCGTTCCATATTTGTTTAATTTAGATAATTAACATGTGTTCGTAATCCTATTAGTTATAATTTTAATCACCTATATGGATTTATAAAGTCATCTTGAGCCGAGATGTTTGCATTATTAGTATAACATTCAAATTCTATCGCAATATGCCGAGATCGGGCAGATGAGTGTGTGAATGGCCAAAGTGATTATTTATTTTTTGTGTAATCGAGTTACATACTGTAAAAAGTGTACTATCTTTTATTGCATATACCGTAATTGTGTACTATTATCGCTTTAGTTACAGTAATTTTACTGTACGTACACGATAAAATTTAGTTTCAAATTTTGGTGTAGTTGTGTTAAAAGTAACTATATATACCGTATTTGAGCATAAATTTATTGTAAAATTTTTTCTAATTATATAATTTAATATAATAAAATATATATTGGTAATTTCAGGTTAAAAAAAATTAATTTTTAAACTTTTTAAACTTTTGTATTTATTCTAGTTAATATACTGTATACAATATATAAACTTCTAAAAATCAATTTAGGTTTTACTATTATAAATATTATATAGCGATTATACTAAAATAACTAATTTATAATATTTACAAAAAAAATTGTTTTAAATAGTGTATTTAATTTTTATTTTTATAAAAATAATATATATTCTTAAAAATTATTAAAAAAATTTATAGTTTTATAATATACAATCAGACTTCTCTAAATACATTGTGACGGAACCATATATAAAAATTAACCCAAATATACATTTAGAGGGGTATTGTATTTTTTTTTTTTTGGTATTAAAATAAGGCCTTGCTCATATCTTTATTGGTTAATTTATATAAATAATTATATAAACTATATAAAAACTTAATTTGTACAAGAACAAATAAATATAAATTATATGTAAGAATAAGAGCTCAGACTAAAAGCTTGAACTAAAAGCTAAGGCTAAAAGCTTGGGCTAATTATCTGCAATCTAAATCTAAGAAATATTGTATTTAGAAAGATAAAAATTTATAAATATAATATTAGTTGGCTCAAAAAAAGATATATATTTAAAGAGGGTTTTTATAAAACATATATTTAAAAAAGTTGTATTTTAGAAGGTCTAACTATAGTATATACAAATATATTAAAAATTAATTTTAAAAAAAAAACTTTATTTATAAAAGTTTTTTTAATAAACTAATTAAAGCTTGTTAAATTAATTATAAATAAAGAATTAAAAATATAATATATACTATATTAATATAATTATAAAAAATTATAAAACTACAGTATATAGTATATTATATTTGTAGTATTTAATACTACAATAAAAACTACAATATAATATATAAAACAAAATAATTTTTATTAAAACAAAAAAATTTAAATTTTAATTAAAATTAAAATTAAAATTAAAAGCTAAAATAGAACAAAAGCTTAGTTTATACCAAAATTTTGCAAAAAATTTTTTTTATTTAAGCTTAAAAGGTAGATCAAATTTAATATAAGGGATTTTTATTCTAAATCAATTAATTAGTAATTAATTTTATTAGTAGGGTTTCTTATATTAAATTTGATCCTAAAAAGTAGTTTTATAAATAAAATTTTGAGCTATACTTTTTTTTTAAAAAAAATAAAAAATCTATTATATCTAATTTTTATTTTGTATTGTAGTTTATAATAAAGATTGTTTATTAAATATAATGAATTTAATCTCTATAATTATTATACTTTATAATTATACTGTTTTGTATTCCAAGTATGTGATTATAAAAAAATTTGATTATATTTGTTTTATATAAAAAAAAATTTATAATTATATACTAAAAAATTATATATAATAATAATATTTAGATTATTTTTATAAATAATTTTTTAATTTTTTAAATTATTTAATTGGTGATCCACTAGTCAACCAGAGAATCATGTAACTCAAATTAGTTATAAAAATGTAGATCTTCCAAGCTCTACTTACCATTAGATGCGTCTTGAT